CGCAGTTCTAGCATCACTCTTTCATAGTCAGCCTATGAACTTTTCAGCTTAACCTTGGAAAGAAACAATGAAGTTATTATGAAGTTATTAATAAAAAGAATTGAAATGAATGCATGCAAGATTTTACAGCTCTTGTGTCACTCCTTCATACATATGAACTTCAGCCGATGAACTTTTCAGCCTATGGACTTTTCAGTCCCGCCCTCATATGTCATAAAATCCACCAACCAACTCCTATATTTAGGTTGTTGTTCTATCTACCGCATCTGTTGAACATGTTGACGATCATGGCTCTCCACTACTTTCTGTCCTTTGTAGCTCTTAATAAATTATGTTTTTCTAACTCACCTAAACCCTGTTCTACCATACACTTACTTTCGCTATTCCACTGGATATAATAAAAGTAAAACAATATTAAATTCATGGTTTCCAATTTCTTATATCAAAGTGGACCAATTGATGTCTACTTGGTATTTCCAAAAAGTTCCCGACTGTAACAAGAGAAAAGAGAAGAGAGGATCCCCAAAAAAATTCTGATGGTTATTTGGTCTGGTTTTGGGAAGAGACCGAATTTTTGGTCTGTGATTCACACCCGGACATACTAAATGGACTGAATCGAATTTGATGTCAATAAATAACCGATGTTCTAGGAGGAGTTGATCTGTGGTGACCCCCCAATATGTACCGGGTTCACCAAAGGTGCCATAACAGATTTTGTACTCAGTGTTACACTAGACCGCCAAAGAAGCCGGGTGCATCAGAATTTTGATCTAGAAAGTAACATCATATCTATCAGGTGAAGATTCTTGTGGTCGAGACGTGTTTAGGCCCACGTGGATCAACCGGATGACAGGAAGATCTATAAGCACCCCATCCAAGAGGGGAAAGACAGAGAAAAAAGATCAACGTTCGAAGAAAGCACCCAAAACCACACACCTTTCGAGGATATGAATTGACGAAGTTCGAGATAATTAAACAATAATTTGTTGTCAACAAATAATGTTTAACTTTCATTATTCACGTACATCAAGAGCCATTATCAAAAACAAAGTAATCAAGAGAAATTAGTAGCGGAAAAGAGATAGAAATGAAGAAATAAAAAAGAATAACAATTCCTCTCTTATTGTTTCTTCAAATAAAGTAACAACAGAAAATAGATACGTAGGTTGCGCTATCGGGGCTGAAATTGGAGTCAGCGATCTGAGTTCAAATTCCAGCTGAATCCGTAGCGTTCACTTTTACAGAAATGACTTTGCAAAATGTATAAATCCACCTTTTATCTCCCCAGGTATGGGTTAAATATGAGAGTAGACTGTTTACATTATTTACATTGTTCGGACTATTGTCCTCATTTTTATTGCCATATTCACGACGTTTCGGTCGTTGTACGCCCCGGCCTTCTTCAGGTGATTGGCATATCGACTGAACCCTTTATTTTGTCCAACGGAATAAATTGTTCTAATCCCATGTGCTATGCCTCACTTATCTACTTTTAACTGAACTCTCCAAGCAATCCACTGACACATGGCCTAGTGGATAAAAGCGTTGCTTGGATCCAGTTACTTAACACAAAGTGTTGAGTTCATCCCTGGCTACTGCAGTGGTGAACAAAAACTTAGAGAGTTGAGTTAAAGGGAGATAAATGAAACATTCGGAAGAGACATGGCATGCGGAACTAGAACAATCTATCCTCGTGTATGCAATAAAGTGTTCAGTTCGGAATTCCAATCACCTGAAGATGGTCGGATAAAACAATAAGGATGAGGACAACAGTCCGAACAATGTAAATAATTAGAATACCTAATCTCATAATATAGATATATCCTGAAGAAGGCCGGCGCGTACAACGGGCGAAACGTCGTGAATATGGATAAAAGGAAATTATGAAAATAGTCTAAATAGTTACAATACCTCATCTCAGAAATAAACACAAGATCCTGAAGAAGGACCGAGCGTACAATGGCCGGAACGTCGTGAATATAGCAATAAGGATGAGGACAGCAGTCTGAACTATGTAAAAAACGTAAGTAATTACGATACCTTATCTCAGAAATATAGGCAGATAAGAGTAGACTGGGCTTTTTTGGTTTAGGAGAACTGCTTTGAATTCAAAACTATGGAGAAGGCAATGGAAAGCCACTCACCCAACTTTCGCAAGAAGTTGTGGTAATTTACAGATAATAAAGAAATGGAATATGTGGAGGGCCATGATCGCTAACGCGCTAACAAAAGAAAGAAGTTGTCAAATTAAAAATCGTTATTCTATTTATGGGCATCAACGTATTTTATTCGACATTAATGTTTAAAGGGAATTGATTGTATTATTTTTTTAAAAGGGTATTGATGGTATTATTTTAAAAGGGTATTAATGGTATTATTTTTAAAAGGGTATTGATGGTATTATTTTAGAAAAAGGGGGTATTGATGGTATTTTTTAAAAAAGGGTATTGATGGTATTATTTAAAAAAGGTATTGATGGCATTATTTTTTAAAGGGTATTGATGGCATTATTTACAAAAAAGGGTATTGATGTTATTATCTTTTAAAAGGGTGTTGATGGTAATTTTAAGGGTATTGATGGTATTATTTAAAAAAAGGTATTGATGGTATTATTTTTTAAAGGGTATTGATGGCATTATTTAAAAAAGGGTGTTGATGTTATTATCTTTTAAAAGGGTATTGATGGTATTATTTTTAAAAGGGTATTGATGGTATTATTTTTTAAAGGGTATTGATGGTATTATTTTTCATAATAATAGAAAAGCTGAAAAACTAGATTCTTAGACATATTTCAATAAAGATAATATGGTAATGATAGTATTGATGGACGTTTCATTAAAAGGTTTAAAACATTCAGCATTCAACGATTGTTCATTGTTTTCTCTTCCCACTTTCTCTTGAAATTTTTTCAGGAAAATCTTTCTGTTCAAATAAGCTCTTTTTTTATGGGAAATAAGTTTGGAATGCCAAATCTAGTATTTGTTATATGTTACTGTGTTTTCCATTTTGATGGACCGTTTCCTTCCTAACATTTTGTTTAAAGTAGTGTGGAATATCAACATCTTGATTATGTCATTGTTTTCTCTTCCACTCTTTCTCTTAAAACAATTTTTTCAGGAAATAGGTTTCTCAAGTCCAGTAGCTGTTATAGCTCTTTCCAGTATTGATGGGCTGTTTCTTTCCTAACCTTTTGTTTGAAGTAGTGTGGAATGCCATCATCTTGATTATGTCATTATTTTCTCTTCGCGTTACATGTGTTATCCATTTTAATTGTTGCTGCTGTTAGTAGTCATCAAGTGATGTGGTTTCTGTTATTTCGTACACTTCTTTGTGATCCTGTAGCGCCAGTCCACAATGTCTAAAGAAGAATGATATTTGCCAAGACCATTAGGATTCACTTGTTCAAATTGGCTTAACGCCATGCCTACCACGTATATGAAAGTCTCGATCTGACAACGCTATTTAAGAACATTACTTAAGTTTTCTGATTGATGATTTGGTTTTGGTAGCAACTTGTGGTATTGTGCGAAACTAACTTTGGCGCAGAGTATTCTCTATTCAGTTTCGTTATCTCCTATACGAAATTTATTATAATTGATCGATACGCCGACGTATTTGAAGTGTTTAGTATTTACTAAATCCACGTCCTGAATTATTATGATGGATTCAGTGAAGACGTCATCATTGCTTTCATTTCAATTCCAGATCACAGTTTCTGTTCTGGCAAGCTTTCTATTGAATTATATT